TTATTTAAGAAACTTATTCTCACCTCAGAAATTTAACTCTTGCATTAGTATTTGAGTTAAATAATTTCTTGCTAACTCATTTATAAATTAATAAAATATAAAAAATAAAAAACACATTAATAGCCTGCTTGATAAATTTTTTGATCAAATTAATCTATGGATAGCAATATTGAATATACTCATGATAATGTAGTTCAAGAAATTGATGAAGAAAATACTCAACTTACAAATGAACCAGCCACGAAAAAAATTAAAGTAAACATTTTGAAGTCAGATTGTCCTCCAGGCAAGAAAAGCTATGTTTGGCTTTATTTTAAAGTTGAAGAGGGGCGTGATGTTTGCAAGATAATCAAATTTGAGAAGGGTGATGAAGTTGAATGTGGAAAAGATTATAAACACGATGGTTCAACAGGAAATATGAAGAATCATCTTTTAGTAGATCATGGAATCTTACTACCAAATGCTGAATCTCAAGTAAAACCAGGTGAAAAACACCAAATGCGTATCGACGAAATAGTTAAAAAACCACATCGTGCAACTAACAAGCAGAATTAAAAAGACTTACTACTGAATGGCTAGTTACTGATTCTTTGCCATTTAATATTGTTCGTAGAAAGAGATACAGAAAAATGATTAATCGTATTGATTCAGCTTTTGTACCGCCTAGTTATAAAAGCATTAAAATAGATCTTTTTTCTGCTTATCAAAAGGGAGTGTTAGATCTTAAGAAATTAATTTCTACCACATGTGAAACAGCTTCTATTACAACGGATTTATGGACGTCCCATAATAATGATTGATATATTGGTGTAACACTTCATTGGTTAACTCCAAACTTCAAGGTGCGTGATATGGTACTGGCCATTGAGCGTTTTGACCATCCACATACAGGTGAACAAATAAGAGACTATTTAGATGAAAAAATAAAAGATTATGAATTATCCAATAAAGTTTTTTGCGTAGTAACAGATAATGGTGCAAATATGAAAAAGGCTATTAGATTACTGGGTAATGTAGAACGTCTCTCTTGTTCTGCTCATACTCTTCAACTTAGTAAATAAAGCTTTAAAAACAATCGAACCATATATTAAGCAGGTTCGCAAGCTTATCATGTTTTTCCAATCTTCAAAACAATGTCAATGCCTTGATTGAGCACAAATCGAATGTAATATGAGTAGCAAGCCTATTCAATTATTCGATTCTGAAGATTCATCTGAAATTTTACCTGAAACAGAAATAGATTATGATGATTCAGAAATACTTGAAGAAAAAGAATTAAAAATTTTACGCACTATTACAGATTCAAAAACTCGGTGGAATTCTACTTACCACTCATGAAAACGGCTCCTAGCTTTGCATAGAGCGATCGGTGGCTTTCTGGAACATTACATATGAAAGACGAGGATGGTGCTAAAGAAGATTCTCATAAATTAAAACGTTTTGTACTTGACGAAAATGAATGGAAATTATTAGAGAAAATAGTACAAACATTTAAGCTATTTGATGAATTAACAACTTACTTTAGTAGAATTAAATATACCACTCTTTCGGTTGTTAACACAAGTATTGAAGTGTTAAAGCTTGAGTTTTTTAGTGGTACTACACTAGAAGATATTGAAGAAATTATTAATGATAATGGTATATATAAAAATAAAATAAAATGAAAAAAACATTATTTTTATTTATCTTTTTTTAAAATTTTAGATGAAATAGATGAACCCTTATCTGATGATAATAATAATGTCGATGAAATCTCTGACGATGATATACTACAACAATCGAATATCCAAGAGCAACTCTCGAATCAACGAATACTCTCAAATCTCAAAAAAGTACTTTATAATTCTCTTTGCTGTTATTGGGATGATCCAGAAGATATTGGGCTAATTGCAACTTTATGGGCGATATGCCCGAATTAATGGAAAATATTCTCAAGAATCTAAATAATGAATTTAATTCGTGTGCACTCGTGAGCCGACATTGGTGCGAAATGTCAATTCCTATTCTTTGGCAAGATCCATTTTCGTTCGAACAAAACTCATTATTCATTTTTAAATATTTTTCATCTCTTGGCGAAGACGAAAAAATCTTTTTAAAAAAATATGGGATAAATGTAGAAATTTCCAAATCACTATTTGATTATGCGAGATTTTTAAAGGTTCTTGATTTAAATCGTTTAGAAATTAAGGTTCTTGAATTAGATCATTTAGAAATTAAGGCTCGAGCTTATTCACAATGTTTAACGATAATTAATTTGTTAATTAAACTATTTGTCGAGAGTGGGGCCACTTTATATAAATTAGATTTATGTAAATATAGTTATTTCCATGAAATTGATTGGGAGAACTTTTACTCAGAACAAAATAAGCTATTTTATTCACGACTTCAAGATCTATCTTTGGATGTAAGACCAGGATCCCGAACTAAAAACGCTATTAAAATTTTAAGTAATTTAGGAAATTGTACTACAAAAATTAGTGCTTTTAATCTCAGAAACTTTCATTCTTGCGAGCCACAATTATTTCAAGCTCTTATAAGTTTTATTACATCACAAAATCAATTTAGAAGATTTAGAATATTTGGTAGATATGAAGATGCTGAATTCCACGGCATAATTTCATCTTTAGAATGTCACACAAACTCATTACAAGAAATCGCAATAGAACGTTGTAATTGTAGTGCAGAGTTTGAGTTCCTAAAAAACTGTAAAAATTTAAAAATTTTTCGAATGAGGGATTCTAAATATCCGGAACTATTGAATATATTAAATAGTAAAATCAACACTTTAGAAATAGGAGGTTTGAGGATTGAAGCATTGACTATAGTACGAATTTTAGAAAAGTTAGGATTATCGCTACAACAACTAAAACTCGAAATTCATAATGAGATTGAGAACGAATTATTATTATTAGAGGCAATTAGGGACTTCTGCCCAAACATTACATATCTCAACATCACATATACAGAGTTTTCCACACAACTTATAGAGCTTATTGGTAATTTACAAAAACTTCAATTCCTTACATTACAATACGAATTTGGTATAGACGATCCAACAGAAGAAGAACCTATAATGCGAGTTAAGCAGTTTGCAAAAACATTGCCGTTGACATTGCAATATCTTGACCTAGGAGATAGTATTTGGCTGAGAACATATATTGATATTTTGCTTAATCATTGCAATGCACCTTTAAAAAAAATTGATAATTAATGGTTTTGATAACGAGAAAAAAACTAAAGCACTAATCGAATTCTGCATACGAAAAAGAACATTGAATTATGTGGGTTATGAGGTGTTTGATGAAAATTTTAGTAAGTCAGTGGAAGCATATGTTACATTGGTACCAGATGAACGAATTAAAGTTGATTGCTAGTTAACTGCACGACGTTGTGAATAGCATTGTATTCAGGAAATGTGTATTAAATAGAGAGGGAATAAAGCAATCTCTTTTTTTAAGGCACTTAAAAGAAAAAATCAACAGCTTGTCTATTAAAAAATAATAAAAATTATATTTTCGCGAAATTCTTAAATAAAAACGAGTGATAAAACTTTAAGCAGTATATATGTTATACGTCAGTTCATCGACCTTTTAAATTAAGGTACGTACGTACGTAAGTCATTTAAAATTTATAAACTTAATGATTTGCGTAGAGAAACTGCATATGAATTATCGAAAAAATAAAAGACATACAGTATTATGAATCGTTCAAAATTAATCACAGTTTAATACTTTTACGAAACTCTAAATCCAAATATTAAAATCATAATCGTGGTATCCTATTGAAAACTTCGTAAATTGTTAAACTCATCAGGATACAGAAGATGGCGGCACTAGATGTGTATTACGAGGTGAATGTAATCATCATAAAGCCGGGTAGTTTTTAAAATTGATTATTAAATTACTATTATACTGTTATATGCCATTTAAAGGATTATGTCGAATTTATGTTGGTTTTGAATTGATATAAGTCGTAATTTGACATACGTTATATCATGATATGTATTACAGTATTGTTATACCGCGTAAAAAAAAAATAAAAAAATTAATAATAACGATAATACATCTTTAATTGATAAAATCTGTGTAACGTAAAATGGGGGGTTTTTTTTTAATCCTGCCTGTAACTAGATTTTTATGATAGAATTGGATTGCTCTTTATCATATACGAAAACGAACTTGTCATTAAATAATATGTACCTATGAACCGGAAACTATTTTAACATTTTTATCTTGAAAAAATAATTGTAATGAAATAATGTTCAAGAACACTATGGTTATATATGTAGATTTTTACCTCATGTGCAACATCAGTGCTATTAGAAAGTCCCAACGAAAATTCTTCTTTGACTTTGAATCTTAAGGTAACTTGATTAACTTTGAGACAGCGATGTGTCAATAAAAAATCTCGAGAGAGGAAACCAGTTACGGATATTCGTAGACCTAAATTCCTGTTCACCAAATGATAAGCCACCAGTTATTGTTCCTTCTGACATTCCAGTGACCAACCGATAATCCACAAGCAGCAGCAGAGAGACCACCAATAATTGATTTCTATAAATAGCGCGCGGTAAAATTTTATTTTTTCTTTTTATTTACATAACTAAATAATGCATTCCATATTTTAATGTTTTATTAAATTTTAAATTTATATTAGGCAAACTATAGGAGTTTATTGTCGTCAATATGGATAGTATTATTGCAAGCATATCAGTCGAAATATGTACAGTAGGTTCGTGGTTGGTCGTAAAAACTTTAAAATTAGTTATAGTATTTATGTTGTTTTCATTTTATTAAAGTCAACAAATGACATTGATGAAGTCAGTATTATAAGCGATAATATTTATGGGTTCTAACCACAGTCTGAAGACAATTCCATCTATGTTAGATGTACAAAAAAATAGATGAGATGATATGAAAAACTATATCACCAATCATTGAACAAGTTCTCCGTGAAAAATATGATTCGACTATTTCTCCTGATAAAGAGCAACTTAATGAATGTGTGATGCTATAACAATAAAGGAATCTTCAGTTGCTCGAAGAAAAAACGTCAAACACCAGTATCTTTCAATTGAAAGTGTTGATTTGAAGGATAAACGTGTTTTAATTCGGTACTCTAAATTTCCAGTTTTAATAAAATTCTACAAAATTAAAGTTTCTAACAAATTGGGGAATTTTGTTTTCATTAGCGTTGATTTTCATGTACCATTTCAAGATGGAAAATAACGAACAATCAACGTATCGTAGCTACTTTGCCGACTCAATTATACAACGTTCTTATTTGCATTATTAAATTACAAAGCAAAAATTTAGAGATAGGTGGTTCAATACATATGAAGCTATCGGAAATATTAAATTGTGAAGTAAGCAATTTGCACTCGAAAATCAACGCAAGGGATATGATTAGTCTTACAAACATCCATAAAAAGACTAAAACTCAATTCCGAAGTGTTTATAGAAGACTTGGTGCCTCTAAGAGAAATTGACACATTCTGTCCGAATGTCACATGCCTATATATAAAGAAGATTGGTTTTCAACACAACTACAAAATATTTTATAATAGAATCAAGGAAATTTAGCGTTGTTGGGGTTTAGACTGAATTTACAGTCCCAACTGTCGGGCATATTCAACCATTTTTAAAAGAGATGATAACGAAAAGTCAATAGCTGTGGGCAACTCATAAAAGACATTTGAATCTTGTATTACATCATGCAAGGATTTTATTGTTACATGATCTTCCAACGTCCATCAGCCGATTAAAAATCAAGATCCAGTAGGGTTGCGACCCAAACTCTTTTTTTTTAGTTACGGCGTTTCGGAATCGGATATTTCTACTTAGTTTGGGTTCGTAACCAAAACCCAAATATGTATTCCATTTCGGTAAATAGTGTCAAACTCAAAACTATCAATTCATTAAATAAATATTCGACGTTTAATAGGATAATCTTTAAATTATTCGGCAAATTTGACTTTTAATCAGGTATATTCATGTTTAAAGATTGATAAAAGAACCATGGATGGATCGATTATCGATTAATTAAATATAGTTAAGCCAATAACACGTAAATATTTTGTTTGAATGTTGTGAATACCAATGTCTCTTTTACTTGTAAGCGCGAATAAAATTGCCAAATGATTGTTTATTTATTTATTGTTAGCCAGGTAATAAACAAGCAGAATTCATATCATCGTTAAAACTTAGGAAGAAACTGATTGTCAGATAATATCAGGAACAAAGTGTAACGAAGAATATGGTTATACTGTATTTAAACGCATCTGATTAGACAATCCATTCTTATAATTTCACATTGAGATTTCTATATAAAATCGAAGTATTCATGAATGAAATGATGTAATGTAGTAATAAAAAAATGCAATCGAAATGTGTGATCAAGGAATCAAAATTCAATAATATCATGACGACATGTTAAATTTCCTCGTCTAGCCATTGTTTTAAATATAAAATCTAAATTTGTGATATGTGCAAGTTATACTGACATCTGAATATAATGACATCATAGTAAAATCTTTCTATATCAACTTATTTTTCAAAAATTTTCAAAATTTATAATATAAATTGTCGGTATAATTCACTGTATCACAATTTAAATTTTTTTGTTAATGAAAAAAAAAATTGTCGGTAAATCCAGAGTAGTACGTATTAAAAACAGTGTGTACGAAGTGTTACTATATGAAGAGTATGCAAAACAAGGTAACTTACAGGTAAATCGCGATTTGATGTCAAAATTTCATGATCTTATGCCAGACTTTAAACAATCTCTTTGTTTGGGATGAGTCCCAAACATGATTTTGCATGTAAAAAATTTGGGATTTCTAGCCGTGATATAATTTATATATCAGAATGTTTGATATTGTGGCAAATTAGAGGCATTTTGCGAAGCCTAGTAAATACTACCAAATCCCAAACTAGTAGGTTTGGGTCGCAACCCTAAGATCCAGGTGTAATTCAAACCAAAGTTTATCTCAATTTTTTAATTCAACATTTTTCCCCTAATATTACATGAAGTAAAATTGCGGTTTGCAAAATTATATGAAATTTGCATATCAAAAAAAAAAAAAAAATTGATGCTTCTGATTTCTTTAATATTACTTCTACAGCATATCTTTTTGTATAACTTTAAAACTTAATGTATGTAACTGTGAAAAATATTTCCAATAAAAAAATTGTAAAGTTTTTTATCAATTTTCTAGAATCATATAATAATTCTTATAATTCTTATAGGATTGAATTTGATACAACTTTTAAAATTTCTTTTTACTCATCATGAATAGTAAATTTTATCAGCCTAAAAAAAAAAAAAAAATTCTTTATAACATGTTGAATGTGCAAATTATATTATAAGATGCAGTACTATAATAATTTACAACTTTTATTTCTGCAATATATATATATCTACCATATTGACGTGTAATGCATATCTGCGCATTATTTGGGGACGCACATACATAGTAATTCGAATCATTTTGACAAATTGGTTACAAGAGGAAGCCTACTTTTATTAATATAGTACATTTAAAGAGATGTGTTATTTTGGACATGCACGGGTGTTATTTTGAGTCAAAAAACAATTTTCAAAAAAATAGGAGTTTTAAAATAATGCCTATGTGCATTATTATGCGCCAATACAGTAAAAAATTGGAAAATAGAAATCAAAATTATCAATTTCTTTTCTTTTTTATCTGCAAATTTCAACTGCAGTAATTTTTTTGATTCGTTTAATAAATTATTAAAGTAAATTTTTTTTGAGGATTATTTTGTGCTATTGCCTTAAATCTATTAAATTATTTTTAAACTTATTAAATTTTTATCTAAACTATTTGTCCAAACCTACTAAGATATATTGTTTAACTGTTATTATTATAAGTAATGTTAAAAATAAATTATCTGCCTCAAAAAATAGTATAACAGTATATTAAAAATAAAAATTTGCATTCATATAACCCATATTATTAAGACAAATGATCTGAGATCCTCAAATATTAAAATTAAAAATTTTTTTTTGAACTTGTTAAAGTTGGTACTTATATTTGCTATATAGACAAATTTGCTTTAATTTTGGCTATATATTTTCTAAATAAAACACTGTATATTGTAATACAAAATAAAGCTACTGTATATTGTAATACAAAATAAAGCTACTGTATATACATTATTTAAATTTTTGTACCAAAAACTTCTTATTAATGACAGATAGTTTTGATAGCAAAGTTATGAATTTTGCAATTTATTTATAAGAATTACTATTTGTACACTAGTGTGTACACATGGAGTATTGTTATTACTCAAAATTTTGCTTATGAAACTACTTTGGGAGTTCTAACAAAAAATAATCTACACAAAATTTTAGTATAAAGTACTCTCTAACTCTAACCCTAATATTAAGTAGTTTTTTTTTATGAATTTATATGTTGCCCGGATTTGCAAATCAATTAATTAATACCTCATGTTTATACACTAGTGTAGGCTTAGAAATTTTCTTTATTTTATTAGTTTGGCTAAAATTACAAATTAATTAACTTTAATAATTATTAACGATTAAGCTATAGAGAACTACTAAAATTTACATATTAATATTATATTAAATATGTCAATATAGATTTTAGAAGCACACTATTTATACGTCATTTACACATTACAGAACTAAATTTCTTTACTATAACAGGGGTTAGAATGTTTTAATAGTATTATTTAAACAATTAAGTTATAAAGACAGTTATAGAGACCTACTAAAATTTATATATTATATTAATAAATTATATATAGCAACATAATTTTAAAACCACACTATTTTTATATTATTCACATGTTACAAGAAAGGGTGTTACAACATTATATATATATATATATAGTTTTATTAGAAAATAACTAAAAATCACTGCAGGTAATTATTATCTGTGATTTACAATACATAAAAAATAATAATTAATTTCTATCAAAACAAAAAAATTAAACCTCTTTATGATTAGGATAAGGGTAAAGGTTAGAGGTTAGAGGTTAGGGTAAGTGTTTTATATAGTAAAATTTAGCAAAAAATTTTTTTTGTTAGAGCTTAAAAGATAGTTTCATAAACAAAATTTTAAGATATGAAAAAATTCTTTGTTTTTGTTACACAAAATTGATTTACACATTACACCTAATCCTGAATTTTAATTGGCAAATTAACTACAGGTAATAATCACCTGAGTAGGGTTGGGGGCAAAAAAATAGGCATGCCTCAATGGGCATGCCTTGGCTTGAGGCATGCCCTTAGGGCATGCCTTATTTAGTCACATGTCAAAGTATTGACCAATCAAAATCATTTAAAATTATTATTAAAATCTATAACCAACCAATCTAAATACAATTCTAAAACTTTTGAATCATATTTGAGATTTTGCATAGATTCAAATATATACTGTATCACTAACTGTACAATAAGAGTAAAATTCTTTATACTTATTTTATATAAAGTAGTTATATACAACTTGTTGTAGTAAAATTTGATATAGTGAGAATTTTGAATTTTAAAAATTTTAAACATTAACTCAATACAACGAAGTACAACTTATATTGTTATAATGAAGTTTTGGGCTAAAAAAAAAAATCATTACTATAGCTTATAAAGAGAAAATATTATCAAGTTGAAGTTAAATAATTCTGGAATTCAAAAAATTTTTACTATATTGACTCTTCACTAAAACAAGAGTCTACTATAGCAAGAATAAATTATATATATATTTTCTTGATATAAGCTATAGTGAAGAGTAAGTTGTATAATTTTGCCAGTATTAATTTTAGCCAATAATATTAATTTCCTATATCATGTGATTTGGCATGCCTTTTGTCTTTTGGCATGCCTATAGGCATGCCCTAGGGGCATGCTCTAGAAGGCATGCCCATGCCCCTGTGCCCCCAACCCTACACCTGAGGTGTAAATTAGCAATTTCCGTTTTATTATTACGTATAATAAAATAAATCTAAATACGGGCTCTCCATTCTTATTTTTACAGATAACGATACTGTAATAGCTTTCATATTTAATTCTGTCATGCTTTGTCATATTACTAAAAAACGGTTTAAAGCAATTGTGATTTACAAAATGATTTTATAATCACATATTAGGTGCAATTTATACAATTTGATCAAAACCATTTTGACCCGGTCAAAGTGACCCATCACATGACCATATACCTAAGAATTTTCAAAACTTTGAGCGAAAATAT